CATTTTCCATTTTGGGTTTAGGTTGATTTTCGCTGAAATACAGCCACACGCGCAAGACTTTTCGACCACCCCACGTATCAATGGTTATTTTGGTTTTCCATCGCGGCATTCGTTTTATATTACCATGAACGCGCGGTATTATACCATTCATCGCTAGGTGATTTCTGACGTTTTCGAAGTGAGTGCGACCAATTCCTAACATATTAAGATACGCTTTCTGACAAAGCGGCGTATTGCGATCTCAGTAGTAAAACGTTCGTTTATTAGTACGCGCTTTCCTTTTAAGACGACGGCTGGCAGTTCTTTCTCCGCCATTCATCGCTTTCAATTGGGCCATTAAAAATATGTCTTGTTCGGATCTAGAGAGAGCTTGAAACGCCTCACGTAACTCGGCAAACTTCTCTCTCGGAATCCTTTTTGAGCAACCACAATTGCAGCCTGTTTCCCAGAAACGAATGGCGGTTTCATATTCAGTGGGATTACTACATTCATTATTTTTCATATACGGTTAATCCTATATATAAATTTTACAAATTGTATCGTTTTTAATGATGAATAATTTTGATAATAATATCTTGTTCTATAAAAATAGAAAAGTCAATTTTTTTTCATTTGGTAATAATATTTCCCGAAGAATTATCATTCAAATGATTTTTTTAACAGGTAGATGTCATGTTCTATTTTTACTGCCTTTCCGCAATCGACGTCATGATGCCATGGAACGCTGGTGCTGATAAAATGCGGATAAATAACACTCCCATCAAGCCCGCACCAATCAAAATCTATAATTTTCATTTGCATCATATCACGTGAAACCATAACGTTTGATGGCAAAACCTCCAGCATGTAAGATACTGACAGTATCTTCTGCTTTCTTTAACAATACTTTTCGATCGCGCTTCCAGGCATGGATAGCAGTATGGGCAGTGATATATTCTTCCTCTGATAGATATTCCATGACAACCATGATCCAGCCAGGTATATGATTGTATGCATAGACTTCGGGGGCGACTTTCTGCCTTGCACAGTAATTGTGACCATCTATACCATACCTTTTGGTGAATTTCACAACCATCAATTTGTCCTGAAAATCACCGGACTTCCCTCTCACTAAAAAGAGTGGCCTTCCACTACATATTGGTTTCACATATGAAAAACCAAATTCTCCCGACTCTGTCACAAATTTGCGAACATACGGAAAACTGTCCTCACGTAAGTGATTACTGGGGTCAATATAGCGAGCCTGTCCATAACGTGCTTGATAATAATGATTCAGCTCTTGAAGGCCGGTCTTCAATGCCACAAGTGCACGAGCTAGATCTTCCATTGCATTTGGATCATTCTTCATAAACAGGAGTGGAAAAATCGGGGTAAGAGGTTCCATCGTAAAGTCCTTACCTAAAACAGCTCCACCAATACCCAGATAAGGTCCAGAAAGATAAAGAAGAAATGTAGGATTGAGTCCTTGACGTACTATATTGCTGTTGTTTAGGCCAATCACCTTCGTATAAGAAGCACAGGCTTGTACATACGCGCACCCACCCCCTTCTCCGATCTCATTTTTTATTTCGCCAACAAGGAGTGTAAACGATAATTGTCCGACGATTGCAACGGCGCCTATATCAGCTTCTTGATGATCTTCGGGAAGTGGTAGTTTACCAACAGCCAAGTTCAGATATTCAGATGCCCACGAGTGAAATTCGCGTTGTCTTTCACTTTCATATCTGAAGGTCTTTTCCATACGTTCGACTAATTCAATTACTAATGCACAGTCTTCCTTCGTAACTATGGCCTTGTCACGGTTTTCCTGAAAACGTGCAAAAGTCGAGTGATATAAAGTGATAGGAATGTCCGGATCGTGAGGTCTATGATTACACATGAGAGGATCTTCATCTAGAACCTTTAACATCTCTTTTGGTTTACAGAAAGATGAAGGCGTTGCCATGTTTTTAATACGTTTAGTCTTCTGTTCATTTTCTGCATAAGTGTACTCTTCGATTTCACGTTTGGTGACTGGAACTAGAAAAACCAAGACACAGGTGCGTTTACAATTATCTATATTTCAAGCATGCGCATTTAATAATTGAAATAATAAAATTTATGCTTACAAAAAAATTGAATTATTTTTACATTGTTTGCCTTCTTTA